GCATTAAAAAAAAAAAAATGATGATATACAGTCACACACACACACACACACACAAATCAAAAACAAAAAAACTTCAGTAATTGTCAAAGTGAAATGTCAGATGTAAACTATCAAATTTAGTACTTAAGGAACCTAAACATTTCATACTTAATAACCTAATGTAGTATATTTCTAGCCAAAACTTGGTCAAATGACTACATCTAAATGCAAGAGACACTGGGGAAATGATGTTTTTATTCCAGATGAGCTGGGACAAAAATTAGAAGAGAAAATCCAAATTAGGGAACAATTATTAGTCACTGCTATACCTGGTTATGTCTTATCTGGGAGTAGGTACCCATCTGACAATCTTAAATGCATTATCTGCATCAATATTTCTAACAGCATATACACTGTCAAATTATATAGTAATTCCTTCTAAATCTCAGTGACTAATTAGTTCTATTGGTAGAAATTTGTCTCTATTAAATTTAAGTAATCTTCATAAGAAAATCACCAAGGAGCAAAAAGGAAACTTAATAAAAACAGAAAAGGCCACTTTATTTAAAAGTTACCTTATAACACATTATGAAATACATAGTAAAATATTAAATAAGAATACTTGAAAATAAAATACAGCCACTGGAGTAATGAAATTACATATAAATAAAGCTGCACATAAATTTCACAAGTACTCTCAAAGAAGAAAGTGAGTTTGGGGAGATTTGAGATCAAGGTACAGAATAGTAAAAATTAAAACAAGATAAAGCAAACTGGTTGAGTTCAAGTTCTCACACTATGTAATTTTAGGCAAGTAACTTTACAGATGATGATAAGTATGATAAGGGTAAGAAATATATGTTAAGTATGAGCCATCCTCTATGCTAAGTGGTTTAATACTTATAACACTACTGAGATATAATATTATTCTTACTTCAGTGAAGAAAAAACTGGATCTTAAGACTAAGCAATTAACTCAAGATCACAGTAGGTATATAAATACCACAGCACAAACTGAAACAAGCCCGTGTCCTTAAGTACTATGCCTACTACAGTCCCTCAAACTCTCTGGACCTTACTTTTCTACTCTGTTACAAAAGAATGTAGTATAATCTAAACTGTTCTATAGTTCATTCTGGCCTTTTAAGATGTTAACATTTTAGTTAAGTCTAAACTCTTTTCCCTAAATAAAAGAACATCGTATCAATAGGTCTAATTGGCCTCCTTCCTGAAACTTACACAAGTCAATAAAGTTGTTACTGTATGTGTAATGTATAAAGTAGAAATTCATTTATTAAACTTGCAAACAAAAGGGCCACTATTATAAGTGGGTAAATTTAGGTATTTGGGATTTATCTCTGATCTCTATGGTTGATTTCATGCCCCTTGGTATGTTTATAAAGAAGCCAGCCATAAAGTTTTATGAGTAAAACATAAGCCAGGTTAACAAACATTATATTTAAATCTCAAGATAATCCTTTCAAATTCAGCTAATGTATCACTGTATGGCTGAAGATACTAGGACACAAAGGAGCTGACTTATTGAGAGTCACATAACTAATTCAGAGAGACATCAGTACTTGAACTCTTTGGGTTCTAAAACCTGTTCTATCCTGTCCACTCTGCTTCTTATTGTTCAATTATGAATATTCATGTATTAATGTCTCTCTTTCAATTTTGATATAAGAAAAATAAAGATACTAAATTAGCACTTTCTGGGGTATTTATGATTACCAACAAATATTTCCTGAGTACAATACGAAGATATATATTAAATTAAATACCCCCAATGCAAGAATACATGTTATCAAAATATGGAAGTAATAAAAATTAAGCATTACAAAATTAAGGGAAAGAGAATCACTTTCAATTAGGATGATTAGAGAAGGCCTCAGAGAGATGATTATATGTGAATACAATAATACAGAGGAGACTGGCTTGGTGCCCATAGCATAGTGCTTACGGTGCCAGCCATATACACTGAGGGTGGGGGCTCAAACCCGGCCCAGACCAGCTAAACAGTTGCAACAAAAAAACAGCCGGGCGTTGTGGCAGGCAACTATAGTCTTAGCCACTTGGGAGCTGAGGCAAGAGAATCACTTGAGCCCGAGTTTGAGATTGCTGTGAGCTGCGATGTTACAGCACTCTATGGAGGGTGACACAGTGAGACTCTGTCTCAAACAAACAAACAAACAAACAAAAAACAGAGAACTGATTTCATTAGAAGAAACTTTTTTTTTGCAGTTTTTGGCCAGGGCTGGGTTGAACCCACTACCTCTGGCACATGGGGCCAGTGTCCTACTCCTTTGAGCCACAGGCACCGCCCTAGAAGAAACTTTTTAAAAGTATGAAAAGGAAAAAGAAAATTCTAAGTAAGAGGAATGACATGAATGTAAGTCTGGAATCAAAATGTACGTTCAAGGTGAGAGTTATAGTCTACTCTGAGTAGAGTGTAGGGGTCTTATTACTAATAAATAGGAAATATGTTCAAGCCAAACTGCGGAGAGATGTTGAATATAAGTTAGAAAATCTGGATTTGATCTAAAACTAAATGGAAGTCTGGATTTGACATAGAATGAAAAGGGAAGCCACCAAACATCTTCTAGCATAAAAATAAAACGAAAGAACAGTGCTTTAATTGGGCGGTGCCTGTGGCTCAGTGAGTAGGACACCGGCCTCATATACCGAGCGGCAATTTGGAACCCGGTCCTGGCCAAACTGCAATAAAAAAAATAACCGGGCGTTGTGGTGGGCTCCTGTAGTCCCAGCTACTTGGGAGGCTGAGGCAAGAGAATCGCCTAAGCCCAAGAGATGGAGGTTACTATGAGCTGTGACGCCACAGCACTTTACCACAGGTGATAAGGTGAGACTCTGTCTCTTAAAAAAAAAAAAAAAAACAGAATAGTGCTTTAATCAAATTAAACTGGGGATCAAGTTCAAGTTTCAGGGGAAAAAATAATAATGGCCAGGAAGAAGAGATCAGTTAAAAGGTTTTAACATTTCTGTGATTATGAAAAAATGGAAAAAAATAGAAATCCTCCTGGCTTCCAAACATTTTTGAGAAAAAAATAAAATGTATATATTACATAATATGTAAGTACTTGCTATGCTTCACCTCTGAAACTATACATAATATAATCTCCCTCTCTAACCACAACACTCTACTCTTAGCTCTTACTTTGTCATATTATTACACTAGCTCATATATCTGACGAATCCCTTCATCTCTCTACTTTCTGTGAGAAAATCAGCCTTTCCTGACCTCACATTGTTCCAACCCCATGGTCAATATGTACTCAAACTATTCTTTTACCAGCATCCTCAATGTGAATTAACATTGAAATCTAGTCTCACTTCTTAACTCAAGGGGCTGGAGAAAGCCTCACAAGCAATGCCTCATAGTAAGCCTTGTCTTACGGACAAAGTAAGAATTTCTAATATCAGTCACTTATAAACCTCCCAAATGAACACTTCTTAAGTCTTTAACTTATTTAACATCTGATAATATTGAATATCACCTATCTTCTTGAAATTCTTGGATTAAATCAGTTACAATTAAATATGCATTTAATATTACCCTAAAAATAGGCTGTGGGAGTCAGCATTTTTAAATTTAAAAAATAAAAACAAACTTTTACATCCAGTGCTTCTTTTAACTTCCTAAATTGTAAAGCACTAGATGCTAAACACAGAAAGGTTAATGCTGAAATTTGTTAATATTTGTTATAAAATATTCATTTAGGACATAAAATTCTGATTCAGAAAAAACAAACAAGCAAAGAGCTACAAATCAGAGAAAGCTAAAATGTTCCCTTAGGAGAATGAAAATGAATATGCCATAAACATCAGTAGACTAAATAAATGGTGATGACAAAGTCTTTAAAAATACAGTGAAAATTCTCTCTTGCTACTAGTTTTAAAAAATATATATGTAAACATAAATACAAAAGTAATCTCTTTCAGGATTTACATTTCTGACAATGATCATATACTTAATGAACAATTAAAACAGGGTTAAGGTAGGTTCAAAGAGTAAATAAATTACTCAAAATAAATTTATGTGTTTAAGAAGATTTTTTCATAAATACTGCAAATCTCATGACTATAATTCAGATCTTACTATTTAGAATTTTATAATAACAGAGAAAAAAGCTGAGTACAAAGTTTTTCTTTAGGCAACATATTTCCTTTAAAATAATAGAAATTAATACTTTAAATAAAACTAAAAATGAAAAACATCAGCTTGGAGCCTGTAGTACAGTGGTCACATAAACTGAGGCTGGTGGGTTAGAAACGGGCCCCCAGGCCAGCTAAACAACAATGACAACTGCAACGAAAAATAGTCGGGCGTTGTGGTGGATGTCTGTAGTCCCAGCTACTTGGGAAGCTGAGGTAAGAGAATCGCTTAAGCCCAAGAGTTTGAGGTTGCTGTGAACCACAACCTCAACATCACAGCATACTACCAAAGGTGACTCTCAAAAAAAGAAAAACATCACTTACTTAAGAGAACTATCCTTTTTCAAACAAGTCTCCATATTTGGAAAACTCTATAAATCATCTAAGTATCAATAAAGAATTAAAGCAAGATGCCTAAGAATTCTATCAAGGTTATGTTTTCATAATCTTTCCTTAATAATTCGTTATAGTCTCGAGTAATTTTATTTTATTTTTCCTAATGTAACCCTTAAATATTTTGCAATTTTTTGATAAAAACATAAACTAAAAAATGATGATATTCAGAGTATGATTCACACTGAAATATATTAGTATAATTCAGCCTATAATTTCAGTTATGAATTACAAGTAATTTTCATTTTAAATGTTCTTTAAATCCTTTGAAGTAATACTTTAAAAGTACTTAAATAACTGGAAGTATGAGAAATGATTCACTGAAAATGTGAACACTCAACTACTGGTTAAAGAAATAATAATAGTTTTAAATTACAAGTATTTCCTAATTCAATTCTCATTCTCAGAAAAAATAAAACATCTTTAAAATTCAACTATAATTTTGGTCTTACTGTGATCAACGTGGTCAATCTTGTGACATCACTGTTGAGAAACCTGCAATAGGAAAACAGAATTAGCAATCAGCTGAATCATACTTAAGAAATTTCAGAAACTAAAGTTTTAGAATTTTTGTCTTTCTTAATGCCATAAATCTTATTTAAATTCATCCAAATTATCAGGAAATGTGCAATTAGCATGACACAAGTAAGCATAAAATGCCTGAGTTTATTTGTAGGTCATTATTTATTATAGTATGGCAGGTTATATTTCACTTTATAATGAGCAACACACTAGGGTATTAAAAAAATAATACAGCAGGGGGAAGGACAAGATGGCTGACAAGCACCAGCCTCCAACAGAAGCTCCCATCCAGAGGGAAGGATAATGTCCAAAAAATACCCAATAAAGTTGAAGATTGGGAGCCCAGCTGAGAGAGAAGAGTGATATCTGCAGGACACCTCTGCTGAGGCAAGTTGTGACTCCAAGAAAGCAATTTACAGGTACATAATACATCCCAAAGGAAAAGTGTCCAACCCCGCCCCAAAGAAAGTTGTGTTTTTCTCTTTGCTTTCTCTTCTTGTGCTCCTGTAAGTTTTCTAAAAGCAAGCGGTGAACTGAGGATATATTATCTCACCCCACATGTGAGAGCTATAGAAAGGGGGGTCTACTCCCATAGAGGGACCATGAGATTCTGAAAACGCTCTCGCCTGGCAGAAAAACCAAACAAACATTTTCACTGCCATTTTGAATTTCCAGTCCACCCTTCCCCCCTTGCCTACAGAGACAGTGAGGGGGGCCCAAGAGCAGCGTCCCCCACCCCTGTGGGACCAAGTGCCCAGTCCTGGTCCCGTAGTCGGAAACCTGATAGACCTGCACGTTGGGCAGACAGGGGCAGAGGACTCCCCCATTCTAGGCACCTGTGCGGGAGGCCCCAGAACTGCTTGCTAGGGCTGCGCACCTCCCACAGGTGGTGGCAGAGGAGTCCCCCCGCTCTGGGTGGGCCCAGAACTGCTTGCTAGAGCCCCATGCGTCCCTGCGGGCAATGGGGGAAGGAGTCCACTGCTCCAGGCTCCTGCTCTGGGCGAGCCAAGAACTGCTTGCTAGAGCCGTGCGCATCCAGTGGAAGGTGGCGGAGGAGTTCCCCACTCCAGGTACTAGTGCTGGGCAGTCCCAGGACTGCCAGAGCCCTGTGCTCCCAGCATCCCTTGCTGGCAGCCCAAGAACTATGAGAGAACGGTCAGTTGAGAGGGAAACAAACTAGAACAGTGGGTACCCGAGGCAAAGAGCAGCAGCCACAGCAGTGGGATCAACAAGGCTCACACCCCTGAGGCTCTTGCAGACAGACATGCTCTGCCTCTCTGGGCAACCAGAGGAAGCCACTGACTGAATGGTTCTGGTACAGATGCCAAACATATAAATTCAACATGGGGTGGAATCAGCGGAAAAACTCTGGTAACTTGAATAACCAGAGTAGATCAACTACCCCCAAGGAAGGATGGGGCAGATGCAATTCAAGATCCCATCCATAAACAGATGGCTGAGATGTCAGAAATGGAGTTCAGAATTTAGATAGCAAATAAGATTAACAGACTGGAAGAAAGGAGGGAATTAGAATTTCTAGAAATTATTCAAAAGATGTCTCAAGAATTCAACGATTTCAAAGATAAAATGACCAAAGATTTTGAAACAAGGCAAGAGTTTGCAGCCCTCAAAGATCTGAAAAATACGGTAGAATCCCTCGTTAAAAGAATGGAGCAGGCAGAAGAAAGGATCTCTGACACTGAAGACAAAGCTTTTGAACTATCCCAAGGGCTCAAATATGAAGAGAAATGGAAAGCAAAAATGGATCTCTCTCTCAGAGAGCTCTGGGATAATTCGAAGAAAACTAATATTTGCCTTATAGGAATCCCTGAAGGTGACAAAGTTGCTTCACAAAACACAGAGGCTCTTCTCCATGAAATTATGAAAGAGAACTTTCCAGACATGCCAAGAGATTCTGAAATTAAGATAGCAGACAGTTTCAGAACCCCAGCATGACTCAACCCGAATAAGACATCCCCCAGGCACATTATAATTAACTTCACTAAAGGTGATATGAAAGAGAAAAATTTGAAAGCAGCTAGATGTAAGAAAACCATAACCTACAAGGGGAAGAATATAAGAATGACTGCAGATTTCTCTGCTGAAATCTTTCAGGCTAGAAGAGGGTGGTCATTGACTTTTAAGCTCCTAAAACGAAATACCTTTCAATCAGGATCCTGTATCCAGCTAAACTGAGTTTCATTTATGATGGAGAAATTAAATACTTTAATGACATACACATGTTGAAGAAATTTGCCATAACTAAACCAGCCCTACAGCATATTCACAGACCTATCCTCCATAATGATTAGCGCAATCCCCTACCACAAAAGTGAA